AAAGTTATATTTTTTTTTTTTTTTTTGGATAAGTTTTGATTGGGTTATTGGTAGAATAATTATAATATATTCTCGAATGACGATATGTTCGGTTTTTAGACGAGATAGGAGAGTGCATTGTATAAATTTTTGATACTACATAATTTATCCTTGGAATATTTCGCATTGTATTTCTGGTAATAGAAGGGATATTTTAAATATTCAAGCTATGTAATAACTTGTAATTCTTTTTGTCCCTTGCATTTTTCATCATTTCAATTTTTACCGTTCTTTCGTATTTTTACTTCGTTCGTACGATAATTCTTTGCAATTTTATTTTTCATCCTCCTCGACGAATTCTCTTTTTTATTCTGCACCGTTCTAAATTCTTCCCATGCTTTCTTCGTGTCACGAGAATCGGAATAATCCACGCGTCGCACGTCGACTTAAAACCGTGAAACCTTGCCTTGACGATTTCATGATATAAAGTTGAGATATGAGTCTGGATGGCTGTCACAACTGTCAAGACTTCTACATTTTTCAGAATAGTCCCATCTTTCAAATTTTTCCTTCGAGCAAACTACTTTTTTGTAATGTAAAAAGATTACTGTTGAAAAATGTCCTACTTCATTCGTTGATTTATATCTGTTAACTTTAATGTATAATAATTTCTTTTATTTATTTATTTATTGTTAATCTAGTTTCTATAAATTACTTAAAAAAGTTTTTAATAATTAACGCGATATACGTTACAAATGTATAGAATAAGAAATTTAATATAAATTAAATTACAAAAGCAGAAATGTTTCTATATGTATTTCCATATTCATTACATTATAAATAAATGAATAATATTGAAAGCATAGATAGGAAATTTTTAAAATTGAAATTTATTGAAATTGTTGTTGTAAAAATAAAGCATACATTATCCTATGTGCAATTTTATATTCCTTCTTCTTATATTCCATTTCTTTCTTTTCGTATTTCCAGGTAACTACTTTCAATTTCTTTTTTATTTTCTTTCAAAATCCCCTTTACCAAGAAAATATCCTTTTATTCTTTTTTTTCTTCTTCTTATATATAGAATTAAAGATCAAATATGCGCTTAATTTAATTTATTTGTAATAGATTGTGAAAAAAAAATCATGACAAGATTAATTAACCGATAGATAGCTTCTTATTTAAGAAACTCTTGAATAATTTTCCCGAAATATCGAATATCCGATCAACTTGATAATTCGGGAGTTAGCACGATGATGGTATAGGTCAACAGAGTAACTAGGCTCTAGGGGAAAGAGGCTTCATGCTTATAAATTGTTGCTCGTTTACGATATGTCCCTAGCTAATTAATAATGCGACTCAAAGTCCATGTACCATGTTATATCTATTATAGATTGAAAGGATGTTGTCGAGTGTTGAAACTGCGACTAATATGATTATAAGGTACATCAACTTGACATAACTGCATGACTTTCGTCCCTCTCCTTTCGATTCTACTTCCTCCCACTAAAAGTTTACTTTATACATTGTTCTTTAAGCCTATAAAACAGCACAATCACGTTTATCACGTCTTCTTTATTTCTAGCAATCTTTGATACGCAAAAATGACTTCATAAAACGATTCTCTCCCCAATGAATTCCAAAAACAATACTATTTTCGTACTTGGCGATGAAAATCACCAAGGACTGACATAATCATTATCAATCATGATTATTACAGATACTCGGATATCACAAATCGTAATCAAACATACAGTCACCGTGATGCATAGAGGACAACACTGATTTCCAATCCGTGCTAACGAATCACGTTGTCTCACTTTCCACGCTTAAAAGTCTATTTTATGCGTCCCCCTCCAGATCCATGATGGTATCTAGCAAACATCCGAGTTTCGAACGGCCGTGTCCCCCGATTCGATTCCCTTCCATGTTCACATTGTCCAATTTGTCCGCCCCTTTTTATCATTTCCCCGTTACCACTCTAATCCTCCACTTGTACCGTTTTTCAGCGGATCCCTTGATCGGTGAATCGCGGTATCAGATGGGCGGGGAACACATTAGTTAGCGGTAACAAGCGCGGCGAACAACTGCGTTACAACATAGCCAGGGCGTGTTCTACACAACCATAAAATACGTGTCACAACCGTGCTACCGTGTAAGCCTGTTTCTAACCTTTACCTGCACACGTGGCCACGAACAAATAACTCGTTTATTATTCCGCGAACGATCACGAAAAATCACCTTTTTTCGCTTCTCTTGAAATGTTTCCTTTCGGATCGTTTCGGAAACTGCATTTTCCAATTTCGAGAGTGCTTTGTCATCTTTCATTCTTTTTTTTTATTTTTTTTCAGGGACTCAGGTCTCACGGACGTCGGTGAAGAATGCGAAAAGTTATGAGTTGAAGAGTGAAATTGAGAAGTTTCGAGGTATTTTTCGATCAATAGTTTATAGAGTTCAACACATTGTGAATAAAAGACGCGAATCTATGGCCTTCGATTTCCAAACATTCGGAAGGAGACACGAGAATCTATGTCTTTTGTTTACCAATCGTTGGAGAGGGGAGACGTGAATCTACGTCTTTAGTTTTATTCGGTCGCGCGGTGTTTACTTTACGATTCTCTCCGGTGACGCCGAGGCTTACGGACGTGCGACGAACTCTCCTAAAGGTACGTTAATTTTATCGAATTAATTTATTCGTGTCAAATTTGTTAATATATCGGATCGTGAAACAAAAAAATTTATATACAAGAATATACAATAATATAATAATAATTGAATTATCGTTATATTATTTATTAAGTTATAATTTATGATTTGAATATAACAAATAAGATTTGATTAATATTTTTGCGTATCAATTTTTATCTCGGCCTTCAAAATCAATCTTCCAAAGATATTTCACGAATATTGCAACAAAATTTTTAAAATTTTAGAAGAAAATTTTAGAAACTTTAATATTTTATATTAGAAACATATGTTACATAATTATATTATTATATAATAATATAATAACAATTGAATTATAGTTATATTATTTATTAAGTTATAATTTATGATTTGAATAAGG